TTGGCCATGTGGAAATTCAGCACCTTAACCACCATGCCACCAGCTGGTCCCAAAAATAGACTAATATACAGTGCTAGAATAATTGATTATTTATAACTAAAAAATAAAATAAAATAAAATTGGACCTCTATCAGGACCAGCAGTTAGCATAATGGCTATGTCACTGGACTCCCATGTAGTCCAACACGGTTCGAGTCCCAGACCTGGTGGCTTCAACTCATGCCGGGCACGTGTGTGTACATGCCCAAGATCCCAAGAGGAGAATGGAGAAGGGATTGCAGCATGGTCATCCCCCCCTGGGGGGTGATTTCTCTCTTTCTGTCTCTCTGTCTCTGTCTTTCTGGCGAGCACATGCTCCCTATAGCAAAAACCTCTCAAAAAAATTACTTTAATTAACTTACTTACTTTTTATTTTAATTTGACCAGAAAGAGAGTGAGAGAGAAAGAGAGAGAGTGAAAAAGGGAAAGTGAGAAAGCAAGCCGCCAGACCAGGACTCAAACCATGGTCAGCCATGTGGGAGTTCAATGCCCTTAACCACCATGCCACCTGCTAGCCCTGCCATGATATTTCTAAGCCACCATGTCCAGAATTTGAACTGTAGCTGGCCACATGGGAACCCAGTACCTTAACCACTATGCCACCTACTGGTCTATTTTTATGTCCTTTTAGAGACACATAAAGCTTGAACCAGAAAGAAGACAGATTTAGTTAGTAACATAGGGACCAGCATGATAGTGTAATGGTTACGTAGCTGGACTCCCACGCTGTCGACCACAGTTCACACCAGGTGCATGTGCATGTGTACCCAGGATCACAAGAGAATGGAGGAGGAGGGACTGTTGCATGGCCATCCCTGGGGGAGTGATTTCTCACTTTCTGTCTCTCTCTGTCTCTCCAGCAAGCACACTTGCTCTATAGTAAAAATATCTAAAAAAAAAAAAAAAAAAAAAAGGGGGGGAACAATAAACAATAAGTGGCATGGTGGTTGAAATGCGGGATTCCCACATGGCTGACCACAGTTTGAGTCCCAGACCTGGCAACTTGCTTTCTCATTCTTTCTCTCTCTCTGGTCAAAATTGAAGAATAATGATAATAAATTTTTTAAAAAAGACACTATAAACAAAGAGAGAAGAGAAGTAATAGGTAATAAGTAATAGACTGAGAAAATATCTGCAATCAATATAACTGGCAAAGAATTAGAATACAGGGAACCAGCAGTTAGCGTAATAGCTATGTCACTGAACTCCCATGTAGTCGACTGTGGTTCACGTCCCGGAACCGGTGGCTTAAAACTCACTTCGGGCATGTGTGCATGCGTGCCCAAGATCCCGAGAGGAGAAGGGATTGCGGCGTGACCATCCCCTCTGGGGAGTGATTTCTCACTTTCTGTCTCTATGTCTCTCTGTCTGTCTGGCGAGCACACACGCCCTATAGTCAAAACCTCTTCAAAAAAAAAAAAAAAGAATTAGAATACAGACTATATGGGACGGCCCCATGGTTCTGCAGTAATAAGCTGCTCAAGAGAAGCTGGAGGCCAGCAGGTGGCATGGTGGTTAAGGGACTGACTATATTCCCACATGGCCAACTGCTACCACTAACCATGGTTCTAGTCCCGGACCTCATGGCATGTTTTCTTACTTTCTCTCTCTCTGTCTCTCTGGTGAGTGCACATGCTCTAAAGCAAATTTTGAAAATAACTAAATAAAATAAAATAAAGAATAATTAAAACAAAAAAAGAGAGAGAAGCTGGATTCCACATGGCAGTCAAGATTTGTATCCCTGTCTCAGTTGACCTGAAACACACTGAGCACACACAAGTAACCAAGATCTGATAGGCTGGACGGCTGAAGGCGGTCAATCATGATATGATCAGACCCTGTACAGGACACCTCTCTCTCTCACACACATTCCTATACATGTGTACATACTCTATTTTGTAAGGGGGTGGGGGAAAGAGCATGGGTATATGGAGTATATACACAAATTAGTAAAAAAAAAAAAAAAGAAAAAGAAAAACCCAGACAAGGGAAAGTCTCTTTTGAAGCCTAAGGCATTGGACTCCCACAGGGTCAACCACGGTTCAAGTCCCAGACTTAGCAGCTTGCTTTCTCAATCTCTCTGGTGAGTGTGCATGCCCTATAGCATTAACAATAACAATAATAATAATAAATTAATTAATTCTTTAGAAAAAAAAACAAGAAAAAGGGATCAGCAGTTGGCATAATGGCTATGTCACTGAACTTCCATGTGGTCAACAATGGTTAGAGTTCCGGACCCAGTGACTTAAACTCACACAGGGCGTGCGTGTGTGTGCATGCCTAAGATTCCAAGAGGAGAATGGAGGAGAGGAGAAGGGATTGTGGTGTGGCCATCCCCCTTGGGGAGTGATTTCTCGCTTTCTGTCTCTCTGTCTCTCTTGCGAGCACACGTGCTCTATAGCAAAAAAAAAGAAAAACCCAAACAAAGGGGAGTAGTGCTCAAGGTGCAAGATTTCCAGATGGCCAGTCACAGTTTAAGTCCCAGATCCAGTGACTTTAAAATCATGCTGAAAGTGTGTGTGCACATGCCCAATATCCTGAGAGGAGAATGGAGGAGAAGATATTGCAGCGTGGCCATCCCTCCTGCAGTGTGATTTCTCACTTTCCCTCTCTGTATCTCTGTCTTTCTCCGGTGGGCACATGTGCCCTATGGCAAAAACCTCAAAAAAAAAAAAATCAAAACCTAGGACTAGCAGGTGGCATGGTGGTTAAGGTGCTGGACACTCCCACATGGCTGACCACGGTTCAAGTCCTGGACCTGGTGGCTTGCTTTCTCATCTTCCCCCTTCTCTGGTCAAATTAAAATAAATGAATGAATAAATAAAATTAACCAAATAATTCTTTAAAAAAAAACAAAACTAAACAAAAAAAAAGATGGCCCTGAAGCTGGCAAGTGAGGTGGTGGTTAAGGGCACTGGGCTCCCACATGGCCAATTGCGGTTCAAGTCATGGACCTGGTGGCTTCCTTTCTCACTTTCCCTTTCTCTCTCTGGTCAAAATGAAAATAAATGGATAAATTAATAAAGTTAAATAAAATAACTGTTAGGAAAAAAAGCCCAAGGACATAAGTAGGCAATTCTCAAAAAAGGAAAATGGCCACTATACTCCGACATGTGGGAGTCCAGTGCCCCAACAACTACACTACCTGCTGGCCCCTAGTTTCATGATTTTTGATAAATATATACATCCAGCTTAATATTACCCAAATCTGAAAAAATTTCATCACCCTTGAAAGTTTCTTTTTACCACTTTCTAATCAATCTCTCACCTGCAGAGTCAACCACTATTTTGTATCTATCTCATACAATCTCTGGCTTGTTTACGAACTTCATATACATGGAATCATACAATTTTGTTCTGGCTTCTTTTGTTCACCATAGTATTTTGCAGATTCATATATGTTATTAAAGTTATAAATAATTTACTCTTTTATTGCTGAGTAGTATTTCACTGACCGTATATGCAACTATTTATTCATTCTGATGACAATCATTTAGATTATTTCTAATGTTAGAAATTTTTTAAAAAGTGAATATGAGGGGCCCTGCGCAGTGCGGCGCTGCGGCTGCGGCGGGGCGCCCGGGGCCTATGCGGCCGGGGCTCTGCTCCGCATTCCGCTGCCTCTCCGGGGCTGGCGTGTGGCCTCCGGGCCTGGGCCTGGCCGCTGGG